AGAACTTAAGCATACATCACTACATTCTAATAGCACACTCACTGACAGGCTTTACAGCAAACTCTGATTGGAAACCCAATCACTTTATTAACTCGTCTTCGACTAAACTCGATAACTTATACCACTTAAAGGCTGACTAGCTTGAGAGAATTCGCCTTCTCTTGCAGACTGTCAAGCAAGCTATCGAAACTCTTCTTGAAAGACTCCACTCCTTCAACCTCGAGTTGCTCACCGACCAGTTTCCAGTCGATACCTAATTTCTCAAGGGCACTATAGATGCCCTCGGCTTCCGATACATTAGAATCAATTGTCCTTGCAACGGAACCGTGGTCAACAAATGCTTGGAGTGCTTGATCAGGCATAGTAGAAACCTATAATGTAAAGAGAGGTCATAAGTATATATAATCCTTTTTCTGGTCAATTCAACTGGAAAAGACGGTTGCACCCACCCTTAGGCTAAAACTACCACAAGTTGGGATAAGATAAAAGATAACTCACGGTGTCAGGTCCAATTAGAGGAGCCACATATAGGGTGTCAGAGTAAGCTGGATTCTTGACACTAGTTGAAGCCCATAGCAGCCTCTGCTTCTTGGCTCCTTTCTTCACCAAAGCATCCCATCTTGGACCTGAAAATTTCTTCTGGTAGAGCTGATAAGCTAGAGCTGCTTGAGCATTTGCAGCCTGTAAACCAAAGTTAGACAGTGTGAGCAGATTAACAGGTGGCAGGTTTTTTAACTTGTATGGAGGAGACCCTGACTTCATCTCCTTAATACCTTCCCACGGATATCCAGAGCTTCAGGTGTTCCGATTTTCTCAAGCATCTTGTCAACAAGAGAGTCAACTCGACTAACAAAGAAAGAAGCTACACTAGTGACATGGGAGAGATCATTTAGCCCGGACGCCTCAAGACCATCAAGGTAAGCATCAATAACAGCTTCATATCTAGCAAGTGAGAATATAAGCTGTACATGTACATGAAAGAATATCAGTATGTCAAATACGGTTGATAAGGTAGATTGTGAAGTATTAGAGAATACCAAAATAATAGAAATTTTAGTAGAAGAATTTGACATTCCATGTTCTTGAAAGTTACTATGTCTCAAAAACAAAACAGCTGATACTTTCAATCACCCGCTAAAGGTTGAACATGAGGTTTTGCTTACAATGATGCACCTGTAAGTTTTATTCTCACTAGCTAGCTGCTTCTGACAATTAAATCTATGATAGGATTTCTTTGGTCATACGAGGATTACAAATGTCTAAAAATCACTTGGAAATTTTTTTTAAGGTGTGGGAGAGAATACATAAAAAATTCTTTATATCAGCACACAAAAGCTTTATAAAGTTCCTGATAAGACAGTATACATCCAACAATATGATTTGATAGACACAGTTATCTTCCGAATAAGAATCTCCTACTAATTGATTGTCCAAAGCAAACTTGATCACTCTTATTAAGCCCCTGTTTGATGGCCATTATTTGGCAAAATCAATGTTTTGAATAGTGAATTTTTGAAGAATGTGTGGTTAGAAAGAAGGGATAAGTTTTGGGTTTATGTGCAGAATATTTTATTGCGTGAATGTTTGGTTGAAAATGAGTATGTAGAAAAAAAAGTTTCGAAGTAAAGCCGATCAAACATGGGCCAAACAAGTGGAACTTGAAATAAAAAACTCAAATTAAAAGATTCATATTGCAAAAAGACAAAAACAATCTGGAATTTCATGACAATTTAGACTTGCACAAGTATGAAAGAATCAACCCACCGTCACATTGACACTTATTCCATTTGCAATGACTTCCTTGATTGAAGGGATGCATGGAGCTGTAGCAGGAATTTTTATGTACACATTTTTACGATCAACCTTCTTATGAAGCAATTTTGCAGCCTCTATAGATCCATCAGTATCATCAGCAAGTCTAGGTGAAACTTCAACAGAAACATAACCATCACCACCATCTGTTTGATCGTAAATTGACTCAAAGAGTTTACAGGCATCTTGGATATCCTTCACCACAAGTTCCCAGTATGCACTTTCTATGTCTTTTCCAGCTTGCACTAGTTCCCTGCAGATTACATCCATTAATGATGAACATATAGTAAGTACAAGATGAAAAGAAGATTTCAGCTCTTATTGAAAATCAATAAATCCCAAGCCAACTTTCTCAGATGAGAATCCTAGTCAAAATTTTAAACTTAACTGCCTATCTGTGATAGTGCAGAAGGAGATTAGCAAAAGATAACCCTTGAAAACAAATGAAAATGAACAATATTACCTGAATTGATCATTGTATGCATTTGAAGTTGATATTGCTTTCTGGAAAATCTGCAAGAATGATAATTAAATTTGGTTAATAGAACTTAAAAAAATATGAAAACATGAAGAAAAGGTTGGAAAAGTAATAAGCTCAATATGTTTGACATTCTTGGCTGCATGACCCAAGAATAATGTCACTGCCATTGCCGAGGAGGGGGCAAGGCAAGAATATCAGAAACTTACAGCTGGGTTGCTGGTTACACCTCTGACCCCACTTTCAATCAACGGGAGAAGATCAGTTACAGGACGGCACAGATTATCGTACCATGGACTCTGCCCTTGCTTCTCGTAAAGATCATGAAGAGTTGTTCTTTTTAAAGTGCTTCCATTTCCAGTACTTTGTGAGCATCTGACACTAGGGGAAAAGTAATCTCCAATTGGTTACCAGTTCACAAAATTATATCGAGCTCACTTTCCATTTTCCCCATTGACACTATGGACAACATATTCTGATGATTACTTATATTGTTGAAAAATTTATGTTCTATTCTTGACAATTAAACATAAAGGTAAAACAGATAGCATTTTTAAAATAAATTTAAAATTTATAACATTTTGAAGCCCACAAAAATGTGTTCGAGGAGGAAACATTTAGAACAACATCATTAACTTATGATGGGAGATGCCTCCCATAAAGTTACATTGCGCGTTCAGATCCACAGCTAGGAAATAGAGAATCTCACAGATTAAGAGCCTGAATCATTCCTCTTGGCAGAAAAGATAGACAGGTTCAGGATCAGATCAAAGTTTTAGACTTAAGACAGCCAATTGACAGCAGATATCTTCCTGATCCTAGAATCGCAGTTAAAATGAACTTGCAAATACCAGATCGCTAAGATCAAAGCAATTTTTTTTATTTTTCGATTGGACAAGGTTTTCAAAATCTTATTTCTTCCAAATATACTTAACATAAACAATTTAAACAAAAGAAAATAAGATTATAGGAAAAATCACCCAGAGAACTCTGTAAGTTTTTACTCCAAGAAAATGAATAATAAACTGAAGCAAGTGATATAGTACATAAACTTACACCAAGGAGACACTGGGGGGATTGGCGGTGCGCAGTGACAATTTGGATGATGAAAGTCTGACATCAAAGGCGGTTTTGGTACGTAGATCAACCAAGAACCTGTGCTGGCCAGAAGATCTGTTGGACGTTAAACCAGTGGATGAATGAACAATACCTGAAGATGGGATCTTGAAAACGGAAGCCATATTTCTTGATTGAACTGTTGAAGAAGAAATCAGAGATTGCAGCGGCCAAAGAAAGTCGCTTAGGGTTAAAATAAACAATTTCAAGAAGTGCTAATGTAATCGGGACACTAGTTTGGTGAGGGGTTGGTTTTGATTTTATATTATATTATAATTTCGACACTAATTTGTCTATTTGTGTTTGGTGAGGGGATTGTTCGACTGGAGATGAGGTTGTTGGTGGAAGTGGATGTGAACGTTAAAATCAAGTTCAAGTTTCTTCGCCTTCAATGGTGGTTAAAACTATTTTTAGTAAATTTTAATAAGAATTGATAAAATATGTGATTACAAAATTGTGAATTTCGTGAAATATGTTATTAAAATTAATTGTTAACTTTATTTTAAATTAAAATTTAGATTTTAATCCATATCAAACAAGGACTTCCCTTTTTAAATTTTCATTATTTTCAAAATACATGTTTCTCTATATTCTTTTTAATCACACATTTTTAAATAAAATAATGTTACACGTAAATTCAAATTTTTTCCTTATTTTTTCAATTACACGTGCTCCATTAATCTACTATTTCGAAATGTATGTTTAGCCAAATAATGAGGTTCAAATAAGGGCTTAATAAATTTAAGTTGAAAATGTGTGATTATAAGTGGCCATCTTCTTCTGTTATTTGAGCAGATTATAATGTAATGCTGCAGTTGTATGATTTTACAAAAACTGTTTTTATGTGATTAAGTATATTTTTAAGAATTTAATTTTGTCATTTAATTATTTTACTCGTAATGATGGAACATCAATAATGTGGAAACTCATTATCTTTCACATTTTTCTCTTTCTCTCATAAAAATTTATCCGTCAAATCTATTATTCTACATAAACTATCACATCAACGATATTCCATCATTATAATGATAAATAACATTATTTATTTTATAATA